TATATATATATATATATATATATATATATATTTGCAAGACGCATTTCAAGTATAAATGTTTGTACAGTTGTGTATCTTTTTTTAAAAAATTGTTCGAAGAACGAGTAAAATAAATGCATCAAAGCTGGTAAATATGTTTACGTATAACTTAGTTCATATTTGATCATCGGTATTCTACGTCAAGGAAATAAATTACGAAAACCAGCAGAATTTTATACTTAGCACTACACAAATATGAATATGAATCGAATCGTTTGGGAGATGTGTACCTCCAATAGTATAACCTCGAAGTCCTCGGTGCGGTTGCGGCTGGTGATATTGACCAGCATGTCGCAGTGCCAAGACATGTCGATGATAGCATGATTGTCTTCCTGATTTGCCAGCAGTGCGACGGAGGAACTGACTTCGACTGCGCCACAAAGCGCAAATCCAACTGCGACCAACGCGGCGACGACGTGTCGCGCTCGTACAGTCGCTAACGAATAATAATAGAATTACGAGGATACGTCATCGCGCTGTGACTAGTCCCATTAAGTATTAAAAAAAATGTCAGTAAGAAAGTGCCATTGGATTTCGCATGGTAATTTTACAATCATCTGGTAAAAATCTTTAAATAATCCAGATAACTCGAGTTACAAAATACACCGAGAGAAATTATCTAGCAGATCAAAAATATTTTATTACCATTGAATTGTGTGTGTATATGATTAGTGAAATATTCCGAAAGATCCGAATAATTTCATACGCAATTTTATATATATATATATATATATATATATATATATATATATATATATATATATATAGGTCTACAGTAGTGTGTCTACAGTTTTCATGGAATCGTTATTCACGACAGATTGAACGCGCTGCAGCTGCAGATGAAATTTTTGTGCATACATTCATTATCGTGGTCTTCAAACATCGGAGCACTGCGGTGTTTGAGTTTGATAACTTACTCAAACGCCTGACACGATGGTATTTTTGCCTTCAGCAATGTCGATTCTAAACTTAAACGGGAACTTATCGCGACCAGTTTTTTTTCTTTCTTTTAATAGATCGAAGGATCCATGATAAATTATCGTCTGCCGCATTAACTGTGATAATTTCAATGCCTTTATAATTATAAGTATCTAGGCCAACAAGATATGCAATTATGATATAGAAATGATTATCAAAATAATCCTCTTTTTTATAAATTCATTCAAATGACAGTCTCTCTCATAATGTTACATTAAACATTGGCGTTATTAATTTATAGGACAAACAATGTTACCTAAGAGTTAAACCGCGCGACACGTACAATGAGAAATGCGTGAAGTCGATTATAATAATTAAGATCGACGAACCTCGAACCTCTTGCGCAGCGAGCTTTAATTGACAACTGCCACGTTTGACGAACTGCACACTACCTCTCTTGACGAAGTCTGCCATCTCACAGAAGACAAAAACAACAAGGCAGACTGCGACATCTCGCTCTTATCACTCCCATTGTTTGATTCCCTCTTCGCGCTCTATCTCTAGACTACTATGAATATATTGCAGATGACCTCGACTTTGACTCGGCGATGATATAACGTAGATAGTTGAGCTTTCCGAAAAGACAATGAACGCGCGTCACTTTGCATCTTCGTGACCTACTCGCATCCCTGAATAACACGGGCCGGAAAATGAGCGATCTCAACACCAATCTAATGCGTTTCACGCCGACTACAGGTGCACGTGCGAAACACCGAGCGACAAGTTAACTTGTCAGTATGCTAATCCGTCTAACTTGCAGCCGGGAATAGCCTAGCCTCAACGTATCCGCGACGAGAAGATCGACTTCGCAGAGAGGAATCCGTGACGGCACGTGGTGGCACGGCATAAATAATCGATAAGCTACTCGTCGCCTTCGAGTGGGTGGAAGCGCCAATCACTCCCCTCAATAGTCAAGCTGCTGCTGTCCTAGAGGATGTCTGATCGAGAGTACACGTACCTTTAACCTCGAGCGCTGCGTGTCTTAGTTGGACGCTACTGCGTTTAAGACGTACCAGCGCCGCCATCGTCATCAAACGTGCTGGCACTTCGATTGCGTTTCCATGATGCGGGAACAACGTGTCGAGCACATCTCATCCGAACATCCGTCCTTCTTTCCGGTCACTATCGCACCGCGATACGCGCGGGACGCGGCGGCAACGAGTTACGCGAGCCATACTGGTCATCTGGCGGTGCGAGTGAATGAACATCTCCGTTAACGAGACTTGATACAATAAGTACCTACGCCGGGTCACAGCCTTGAAGCACCGTGCACAGGCCTGCCTCGTAATATTTTCCCCGCGTCTCTCGATGTCGCCGAGCGATATCGGGCCTCATCACCGCTGCGATAAGCATCCAAACGCACCTGTTTTTTTCACTAACCTTATCGCGACGACGCGTGATCCGGCAGTAAATTTCGTTGCGTATGTAATTGTTGCAAAATTATTATGTACGGGCATCATTGTTGCGCTTACGCGGCGAATGTGCTCGCTTTGACATTCCTGACAATGCGTCATTAATTCATTCGCGCGGATTAACGATTAATTATAAGACCGTTAAAGTAACCTTCTCTTACTAATGAACCTTCTCTTACTAATCGTTTTTCACATTTTGTCGACCGATGCAGATTGTTCATAATAATTGATGACATATCAATTATTAAATATCGATGACATATCAAAATTGCATTTTTTCGATTAATATATTATTAGCACACACATATACGCTAAGAGAAAAAATATCTAAGAAATAGAATAGTAAAGAGAATAGAATAGTAAATATTTGTTTACGGTGACTACATACTAATAACATAATATTTATTTATATTAATATATAATGTCTGTCATATATATTAGTACGTTCTTTAACCCTTAAACCCTTTGATTGATCTAGACCAAATTTTGCTTAGTTACTCTCTAAAAACCCTGTGGAAAATATAAGCTATATACCTCACCCAAAGCTGAATACCTTACCCCCTCCCTCTGATTTCATCCTCTTGACACTTTGTGATCATTTAAATTTAGATGTTCTAGATATAAGAAGCCCATAACGCTAGATAGCTTAAGCTAGCTACATTGAAAAATTGATATTCTTATTCTTAGAAAAATCCTACAAAATTGGCATTAAGTGCAAAATATTCTAAACATAAAATTTATTTCTCCTGTGTTGATAGGAAATTTTCTCCTAGAGAGAATGTTTTATATTTGATGCTTACTACTATAAGTCGAAATCTCGGCCCTATGTTAAACTTTGAATTCTACAACGCAATAAGAGCCAAATTAACAAAATAGATTTAATTCTAATAATATAATTTACTTCTATTTTAACTCTAATGATATCCAAGATTTCCTTTTTTATTTTCTTTAGCATTCTTTAGTAAAATAGGTTATATTATAGGTTTCAGAATATCAAAATAAGTATTGAATAGAATAGTGAGGCTGAAAGTAGGATTAAAATTTTGACTCGAGTATTTTAAAGAATTTTTCTAAGAACAAGAATATCAATTTTTCAGTGTATAAAATATTTTTTAAATAAGAAAATATATATTTTCTGAAGATCTTAGGAAAACCTTAACTTTTTATAACAGCAAGTTATAAAACATTTATACACACTTGCTGTGTTTATTCTATTTAAAAAATTTAGGTTTAAGTAAATATGTTATTATAGTCTTCCAAATAAATATTTACTATTTTTTAGACATTTTTTCATTCAGAGTATATGTTTCTGAAACTCTCGATTAGAAGAAGAGCGAAGGTTAGATTAAATTAGGTTCTCTATATCCCAGTCAGGCGGATTTAAATCGCCTGATGCGCAACACCATGACGTAATTAGCGCAATAAACATGGTCAATCCAGTAAAATGTTGGCAGTTGGTAAACGAGCAAATTTTACGAAAGGTTTCAGAGACGTAAACGTGCGCGCGTCCCTCTGCAAACCTGCTAGAGTTCTTCTTTCATTCGATGATAACGTAACAGATGAACGTTCAATATCGGCAACGTAGAACCATCGTCCAGGTTGGCCAGACTCTATGTTACCAACGACTGATCAGAAGCGTCGGCAGGCTATCATCCCCAGGTCGGGGCCCGATCCATGGGACCGTTTGCACCAGGCCCCAGCAGGTCGCGCGGCAGGTGGTCAGGCCGCGTGTCTCCTCCCCTGCTGTCGCCGCACCAGGGACCAGCGGGATGCCACCTGCACGGCGATTGGTCAGTTCGCAGGCAGGTCAAACGGCAACACATCGAGTCGGCGTTTGTCACACTTATCTGCCGCTTCAGAGCGGTGCGGTGCGCGCGCGGTACCCGCGTCTCGCATTTTTCGCGTCTTATCCGCGACGATCGGCACGCACGTGAGCGACTGCGCAGCCTGTGCGACATACCGGACAGTGAATCCCGGACTGAGAAGAGGAAAGAGAGAGAGATAGAACACGGTGGACGACGCGATGGCAGGATAGAGAGGATCCCGTGCTGGTTCCCGGAGGATCCGCGTGAGTTCTGTGCTTCGCTCTCGCCCGCGTCGAGGATCACTTTTCAAACCGAGACTGGCGCAGGACAATGCGGCGCGCCGACACGGCGTACCTTGACATGTGCTTGGTGTAGCATACTGTCGTTAATCGTCACAGTGTCGACAGTGGTGCTGGCGTAGTCGCAAACGACCGTCGCGACGGTGAATGACGAAGAAGACATCGACGAAGCGCAACGTAGCACGAACGAGCGACAAGGTGAGTGACTCCGTTTCGTTGCGTTTTGACCGTTTTGCTCGGTGAGTTAAGTTGGGTGCCCTGCTGGGGTCCCTTGGAGCACTCCCCTCTCGCTCTCTACCCGGCTCCCCCTCTCTTGCACCCCGCATACCGTGAGTGGTTCGCCAGGGACAATACGGCCCAACGAAGGGCATCCGGGTCCACTCCAGCCGAGAGAACCCCGAAAGGTCCTTTCTATGCTACGGGATGCGCGTCGACGCATCTCTTGATTCTCTTTTCTCTCTCTCTCCTGTCTCTTTCTCTCTCTTTCTCTCTCTCTTTTTCTTCCGTTTGCGCGAGCTCTTCTTCGTTCCATGTCTCCTCAGTCACTTCACTCTCTCACCGTCGCTCTCCGTGATTCCCTCGAATTTTTGGTCTATCTACCGTAGCTGGTCTTGTCCCTCGTGTCTTCCTTCCCATTTTCCTTGCGTGTTGCTTGGAATCTGCTCTTCTTCTCTCCCTTTCTCTCTCTCTTTCTCTGTCATTAGAACTATTAACTCTTGTTATCATAGTATTCGTTATTTTCGCGTTAGCTGCAGCCTAAATGGCGCTCTGATGACTCCACGGCGGATGCAGACGCAGTTCCGTAGCGTCCATCTCTTTACTTCACACCTTTTTCCAATTACCGTAAGCGATTATTACGATAGGAGATAATACGTTATTGTGACGCCGCACGCCAATGTGTTTGATGACCGGGTCTCGTTTATATATAAGGGACTTGCCGCTATAACAAAATCCTCTCCTTTCCCTATCCCAAGTACGCTGTCTCTCCCCTCCTCTCTCGTTGCCCTTCCTTTTGGAATGCGCTTCTCTCAGAGATCCCGACGTTATTTCTGGTCGTAGGATCACCCACAACAGGTCCCCGGCAAGAGTGTTTCGGGCTCCTATTTCTACTTACTAGAAATACACATGTACGACTCCGTCGCTTCGGTCGTCGACTTTCAAAATCGACCGTCTCGATGGCGATTACGAAAATCGTGAAACTAGTTTGTCCACGAGTGAAATGTGCGCTGAGCTAATTAATATAATTCTGGGAGGCACGAGCTCCTCCTTCTCCGCCTCTTGCGCTGATTTACATAAGAACTGCAAATACTGTTATTTCGCGCAAATACAAATGCACTTACATGATAATTCTTGACCAATTACCAAAATGAATTCAACTATCGACTAATCGAGTCGAATTTTCTTTCTATAAAACAACATTAAATAATGCGATTTAAAATGCTGGAATAATTTAACAATTAAAGCGGTGAGTCATTTTTCTGAGATTAGTTAATTGATTGATATTATAAGATAAGAAATTTATCATGGCATTTTTTCCATATTATAGCTTTTTTTATCTAAATTCTAAACAATTTTACTATGTTTTTAATAGTATAGGAATAGAAATTGTCAGTAAGTTCTATCTCGTTAAGAAATGTAGTAAATTTCGTTAAAAACATAACATATCTTTTAATAATATATTTCAATTTCTTAAATATAAATATCACATTTGAAATTAAGAGATAATAGATTATTGATATTGATTGATATTTATTGCAGAATATTGATATTGTTCAATTAAAAAAATTACTTCTAAAAATTTTTTCAAAAAAACTACTTCTAAAAACTATTTTTATAATAATTTTTATAATAAAATTATCTCTATATACACATAGACATTGCTACTATTTGTTTCGTTCGTATATATATTTTGCAATAAATTGATAAAGACAATGTCTGCGATGTGAATAATTTAGGAATGAAATTGAACTACATCTGAATTTCACGACGCTGCGAAGAGAAAATATTCCAGATCACATTTATTCGGTTGTATTAATCTCAGTCACGATGCTGCAAATTTATGAATCGCATTGAGCTTCTTAAATTCCGCGGTAGCCCGCGAATTTCGTGCGTGCGTCGATTGTCGTCCTGTTTGCCCACGCGAACACACGCGGGAATTCGCGACGAAACTGTCAACAGGGACAAAACATCCACACGACGTAACCGGAGCGGTTTCGGCGCGCGACCTTACGTGCCGTACGACGCCGTTGACGTACATATGTACGTGCTTTGAAAATCGTGCACAAATACCGTTGCATTAAGGTCGTTCACTCACTGAGACTGCGATTCAGCGCGAGGTGCTGCTGTCGGCTCGCGCGCTACAAGTCGCGGGAGAAAATGAATACGTTTACAGTCTCGCGCGCGTCTCTTCCCGGCGTTTGTCGTATTACGACGTATTACGGAGTTCCCTGTTGGCCGACAGACGACGGTTTCGACCAAAACTCACGTGCAATGACTTTGAAGCGAAAGTCTCTCTCTTTCTCTCGAGCTGTATGCTAGGAGCCTGGCACGATGTTGCCGACAATCTTCACGTGACATCTAGTCCTATTGTTAACGGCCACGTTTCGACGCGCACGTGCTTCGTAAAAATACCGTTGCCATCATTTATATAATTTCAGCACAAACGACACGAGAGTCATGTAGTTATGTCGGCGTGACTCACTCGACGAAAAAAGTAAATGTTACGGCAAAGTGACATTTTCAATGACGTTTAAGAGGATGCCATATTTGAGAACTTTGAAAGACAGTAAAATACTGACATCTTTATGCTAAATTTACGTTTTATATATTGGTAACACAGAATTGTAAATATTTTTACACGATGAAAATAAATAAATCGGAATGTTGTTCAACATGTGTGTGACGATGACAAATTTTAAAATTGTCATCTCGAACTTTCGGCATGAAAAGTTTCCTGATATACAAGTTTTTCATATTGTATAGACACTTTTGGAGTTCGTCATCCGCTTTGGCATTCTCTTGATAGCAATATGAGTTGCTTTGTTTTATCGTATTTAACAGAAAATATAAGCACGCGAATGTATGTAGAAATCTTTCCACAAAGTTCTTCAAATATTTTTAAATTTATAAATTTTGTTGCAAAGGTACAGCAATGTTCTTTAAAATCTTCCTGAAAGAAACAAACAAACGTTCGGTTCATATATATATTCAGTTTCAATATAGTTCAGAACAGTTTTTTTTTTCGATGTATGTCAGAATGTATAGTCGATAGTTCAATGGCAGAAAACTTCTGAGAATTAATATTAAAAACAAACTTTTTTATTGAGAATTATTGACTATACTCTGAAATGCATCGCAAAAGAAGTGCTCAAAATATGTAACAAAGCATATAAGCTATAAGACTTGCGTGTCAAAGGCGAATCTTTACGTTGATCAACAGTTTGAAATAATTTGAATTGATGATGAATTGTCAATGATTGGACAATTTTGAATTTTTTATTGTTTCTATCACATATTGAGCAATGCTCTAATTCATTTCTGCACATACTCTAATTATATAAAAGCATCTGCAGAAACTGCGCGATCAATGCGACGAAACCTTGCAGAACAAAGTCAGTATTTTGTCGGCGAAGTTTTCAAGATTCCTCCAAATTCTATTGCCCAAAATGACAGCGCAAACTTCGCGAAATAGTAAATAGAAGGGACAATCATCCTATTGTACACCTATGTGAAATGTTAAAAGATACAAGACAAGTTATACGAGACGCGAACGACATCGGCTTAATTACGGCGACATCGAGCTTATGCGTTACCAGCATTGTATAGCTCGTGCATAAAACCTTATAAAGGAGCGGCTCTAACAAAGCTACGTAACCCACGGCGCCACAGCTCGCGCGCAATGTCGCAGTAATTTGACGAAAGGATCGCCATCCTGTTCGTCCCTGGAATTACACGTTACGCGGCGAACTACACAATTCCTCGATATATGCTCCGGCAATGTGCTCCGGCTTCGAGCAGGCGCATTCCAAGTGTCACTCCCTGAAACGATCCGCGTCTACTGATTACGTAGGAAAATGTCAGATGACACGGTGGCCGCCCACACGTGCGACGGCAGGCTCGCTTGTCACGTAAATCAATTTCGCGCAGTTTGAATCCTCAGCACATCGCGCGCCGTGAAGTGAAACTTCCGCGCAACGCTCAATGTTGCTTGCGGGTGTAAATCGTTACAGCCCAAATCGCCCGCACGCGATCCCGCCGCGAGAGATCCAATTAAGCACGCTCGCGGCTGTAACCGATGCATCTGATAATTAACTACTAGAAAATCTATTACGCGGAGTGAAGCACGCGCGCGCGCGCGCGCGCGGCATGCCACGAGGGAAAAGTAGGAGAAGAGGCGGAATAACGCGCAAAAGTGAAACTAGATTTTCTCCGGCGCCGACTTTACCCGCGCGCACTTTACGGTCCATTTGCATGTCTCCGCCTAATTGCTCGGAAAGTCCGTTCCTCCTCGCCGCGGAGCTTGAAAACGCGGACGGAAGTGTCAAGGGGACCACCGCGCGCTTTCTTTCCGCTGGCTCCGAAACTGTCAAGCGGAGAAGAAAGTCAGGCCGCCGTCGTCACTCACTCAGCGGCGAGGTGAGCGGAAGGACCTGCATACCGATACTATTCCTGCGTCACGGGGAAGTCTCTAAGAGACCCATCTGCCAAAAAACTGGACCTCGTATCGGCCAAGACGTGATTAAAGGTAATACTTGAATTTCTGGGACGCGCTGCGGATAATTGGCGTGAAAGCAAGACGAAAACACGAGCAGCCGAGTCATGTACACGCATACAAACACACGCGCGCATATCACCGTATTTAAATAGCAAAACGGTACGGTAAATCTTGGATTTTATGAGCAATGAACGCGTTTATCGTTCGTTACTCTTGAGGCAAACATGACGTATACATCGCGCCTAAGTTACGCGATTAATAAAACTCGACTCGAACGAACAGTAGCTTGCAAACCGGATTAGATACGGTGAAGCTGGAATTTCACCAAACTGTCAAAACTGAGAGTCATTACTGATGATGGACTTGCCCCCCCCCCCTCAGTAATTATTTTATCAATTATCATTATTATTAACTATCATTATATTATTAACTATTATTATTTATTATTTAGTGTTCCTAATTGCATTAGTCTGTCAGTAATGGTGACTCAGTAATGGTCTCTCAATTTTGACAGTTTGACTATGACTTTCAACTTCGTCATGTCTAAATTGTTTTGCATCCCGCTGGGTAACATTCGGTTACTGAATGGTTTATTAAGTGCCGCGATCGCGACGCCAAATACGTATCAAACAAAACAACATGTGTAGCTTTTCTAGAATTTCTGTGTCGATTGGTCTTTCGAGTCAAATAACTCAAACATGAAAACTATAATCGAAAATCTGATGAAAGTTTCCTTATATGATATTTAGAGTCTTACTTCTAGATTCCCAGATAACGTTCTAGATCTTACTTCCTTTTTTAATATAATTAATTTAAAATATTTATATATTTTGTTTAAGTTAACATGTATGTTTTCGTATGATGTTTTTGTTTTATAGTTTTTATTTTGATAATTTTTGATACTTTTTGTTTAGTATTTTTGTTTTGGTATTTTTTATTTGGTACTTTTTATTTTGTTACTTTACACATTTTTCCGAATAAAATTGCAACGTTCCTGGTTGTCGCAATTGAGATACTGCTGTGGTGATTGGTTGTAATGTAATCGGCATGTGGTAATTATAATGGTTATGTATAAGGTAATCGGTTTTAATATAACTTCTGCAACTAATAAAAATTATCAATTGCTTCTATACGCTACTTTTTTGCTTTGCTTTTATAAGGCCTGCATCGTCATTGATTTGTAACCGGTTACGTCAAGAGTCGAAGTGACGATGCACTACATAAGCGCTGATCCTTTATTATACTCTTATCTGATAGATAAGAACGTAATAAAGATACTCACACTCTTCTTCAATATTCCGTTGCATTTGCGACGTCGAATGTCTTATATATCGTCACTTCAACTTTCGTCGTGACCGATTATTGTGCAAACGGATCAACAATATCTCTCAATTGCAGATTTGTTCTTTTTAGCTGAACTGCCTGAACTGATGCAGACTGATGTAATAAATTAAAAACAAAATATATTTGTCTTATTCTAACTTATTGTACTAGTCTATACCAATTCAGGCAGTTTAGCTAAAAAAAAATCAGAGCTTGTAACAACCTAGAGCAATTTCAATGAGAAAAAATGTGCATAATCAAGTGCATACTCGTAGATAGAAAGGTTGCCCTTAATTTTTGGGGTGAATTTCTGTAAACTGTCTCGTCCAATGGGAGAATCCGTTTTCTAATGGAAGTAAAGTTACCATTGACCAAAACGGATGAATTCGTAAATCCACGCGAAAAATAACCAACAATCTTTCTGTTCGCGAGTGTATACCTTTCCTGATCGCTAGCCGCGCTACCCGGAAGTAGATCGTGATATCTACGCGCCGCACTACCGTCCGCATTATTATTCCCGACGCAAGAACGCAACGGATAAAAAAGTGTAGCGCCAAATCGGAGCGCGAACACGCGCGCGCGGGAAGTCGTTACGAGGAATCGACGACCATCGTAACGAGGCCATTGCCGGTGCATTTTCTCAATTACGTAGGAAATTACTCCGCGCGGTCGCGGCCGCTTATATCTCCCGCCTCTTCGTGACGTATGCGAGGAAATGTCGTTGCGGAGCACGAAACCGTGTTTTTTCCGGGATATGTTCTTTTGGGAACGATTCTCAGCAAAGAGACAGAGTCTCCGTCGGCATTTTTGCGAGCCGTGATCTTCGATTACACTTGCACGCCTCCAATTACACCGATAATCGCATACCATGGCATACCATAGCGTCGCGGAAATCGCGCGTTTATACGCGATCAACCGCCAAGTGCGAAACGCGTTATTTAACACACGCGCTCCTCTTCGATCCGCGTTCTTCTGTCCGCGACATATACGCTCGGACAAGAAATCCGATACATATAACGCCGTATATCGTGAGCGAGCTGCTCCGAAACCCGCTATGATTCCGATCGTCGACCTGCATATCGAAGCTGGGATTAGAACATACGACTATCACGTTCGCGTGAAATAAAGCTGGTGGCATTAAATATCTCAATCTTGTCGCACGAGCAGAATCACACGGCAACGGGAAGGACGGAGAGAGATTTCATTTCAAAATTGTGTTGTCCATACCTCAGAAATAGACAGAATAAATGTTAAAAGAATTGCGGATTTATTGCATCTAAATGTGTCTGGTGGAATACGAGCGAACCAGAGATTCTTGTTGAAGTTATCAGAATACTGTTTAAGTCACCAAGATTTCTGATCAATTCGAACAAAATTCTGATAACTTCAACCGAAATTTTTCGTTTCGTTCATATTCTATCACAGAAAGAGTAGATCAATATGATTATAACTTGTCACCTTGAATATCTTCGAAGCAAAAAACGAAGGTAAAATTTTCGAAGAAAATGCTACTTTTCCTAGAAAAACGCATAATACCATCATAAGAATTTGTTTCTAAGTATAGACTAGTGTTTTAAACATCCAAAAATCTCTTTTATGAATCTCTTTTTTGAATAGAAGATATTTAAGGTAATGATAGTTTTCGACTCACCCTATATGTATATCATACATTTTTATACGGAAAATAAAAGTATTAACATATTTCTGACATCCAGTGACCTTTTGCAGGCAATATACGATCAATAATGTCTGTTCTTTATAGCTGCACTTTCTGAAAATTATCTCGTAAACTTCCTATTCTATTTCCTTCTCCCTTCCACCAAGTGTCAAATATATATCTACATGATTTTTTAAGTACAGACGAAGCAACTGACAGTGCAGCCGTAAAGAACAGACCCCTTGTGTGTCTCGGGGAAATTCAACCTGACGCACCGGGAGAGTTGAACGACTAGAACCAGTGTTAGTTATTTGCCGTTTTAATTACACGTGTATATGTCTCGGGGCCAACCGCGAATGTTCCAAGTCCGATCCAATCTCCGTACGCGGAATTCCTTTTCCGTACGCTATTATATCCGCCTATACGTATCTGACGCATATACAGGTGCATGCAGAACGCGTCGCACACATGCGAAACCTTGCTCTTATTACGCCGCATAATTCTACATAATATATATCTCGCGTTCTCAATTCTAAGTTATCTCCTCCTCTCCTCCTCTGCACACTTCGTAAAACCGTGGAAGTGGCTCAGGTCGAAAATAATCGAAAGTTAATACGCGTGTAATTCCCCACGGCGCTTACTTCCAGACACCTGTGCTCTTCTCGGCGATGAAGTGCTGTAATTAGTTTTGCAAATTATTTCGTCATTCTACCGTTATTTGTCTCGTGATAGCTGTCGATTAATTCACCGTTCGGCGATAATTGTTTTCGGTGAGATTTGTTTAAGTTTAAACGAACAATCGAGGTTGACGTTACGGTAGACGGCCGCGCGGCATTGTTGTTATTCGGGTTTCAACAACGTTGTTAGTATTCTCCGCGCATTACCACGGACGTCACCGCGTTTGAATGCGATCGATGCCGCCTGCATTTAGCGAATGTAAATTGCTTCGGCTCGCACAGCCAATTGACGAGATCCCTCCAAGACAACGAGAGGCATTTCGACGCACATGCTAATGTAAACCGACTGTCTAATTTTCACCCGACACCATTACATTGTATCACAACTGCGAGAAAATAAAAACCGCCGTACCTGTGCATCGTGATCGTTTATCGGCATACTTTACGTCTAATACCTCATGTTGCGCCGCAAGGATACAAATTATCTCGTGTCACATGCAATTCCGGAATGTTATTGGATCATCCAACTCATTGCTATTAAGGCAATTGTATCATTACGTGAGTTTCGTTAGAATATACACAGTGAAAAATTATTTTCTGTGAAAAATTACTATTCGTACAATTAGAGAGAAATTGACCATTTAAGATACTTGTGTGAAAGATTTGTATAAAATAAAACTGTAAGATCTTGATGAAAAACTATTATGATATTAAAAACTACACAGACAGATTATATAGTATACAAATTTTAGAATTATTGATTTTGTTTTCAAAATACATTGATGGAAAGTTCATAATTTATAATATAATACTCGAAATACACACGTACACATGTACACACACATATATATATATATATATATATATATATATATATATATATATTTAACTTTCTACTGCTCAAATTAATTTTTCATGTTTAAAAAATTTTTCATGTATATAGAATCTTTAAAACTAAAATACTCAACATATACAAAGTAGAATTTTAATTTTCTCATTTTTTTATTTTCCCAAAATATGTGTAAATATTAACTTACTATCACTGCCAACATACTAAGAAAGGCAGGCGTATTATGACTTTTACACATTGGTTAAGACAGGAACAACATTCGTATTGGAGATAAATAATGATGAAATTGGATTATGGCTTCAAAGTCACAGTGGGCAATAGAAGGGTAAATATTTGCCTCTTTTTATTTATATTTTTTTACGTTTAAATATTTCTACACATATACCTCTTTTTATCTATTCGTACATCTTTATTAGATAAATATTGACCCATAAATAAAGCCTTCATCAGGAAAATAGAAAATAATAAATTTTTCGTATTTGCAATATTGTGTACGTGTGTGTATGTGTGTTTGAAATTAACTTTAACTTTAAGTAACACTTAGAAAGTGAAATAAATGTATGCAAACCCAATCTTATCTGATAAATAATAAGTTTATGAGTGGTCTCTTTGATGCGCCACTGAGAATACGACATCCAGCGATATAACTACCTTAATGTTGTTCACCCAAAAACATTACTATATATGTCATACATATACGACGAAAGTTATAAAACACATAAAACACAAGTTATGTGAGACATCTCAATGACATCTCGATGTCATCTCGAACAAAAAAGGTTCGTCGGATGAGGGAACACGTAGAGTGAATTAAAAGACGGAAGCCGCGTGTAGAATGGCCTTGAATTAACTTCTTTTGCGGTTCAATAATAATGAATAAATTTTCTTAATGCATTTGTATTAGCACTCTGACTCGGCGCTGTTGAAACAGTTGATTTGCATCGACTACTGGATAGCGTATCCGTTGATAAACGATCGACTTTTTCAATGACGACGACGGAAAAGCCGTTTCGGCTGAATGCGAGAAGGCGTAGTGTGCAGTGCGAGATACTGTTGTTAACTTAAATACTAAAATTTTTCGATTACTCACTGCAAAATAATGCGATTTTTTCGGTCGAGGAACACGAGTGCGAAATCATAATATCTTCTACTTGTAAAAATTACTTCACTCCCGCACGCGATCGCCAGAAGTGGCAACGCTATCGCTTTATTAATGGTCGCTCGTTGGTTGCGTTACTTAATAAACGAAACATGATAATATTGTCGGCGAAAAGAGACTTAAATTATCTCAATCTTATCCTTCCGCGAGATTAGATTCGCGAGGCGTCTCCCACGCGCTTCGCTCTATTTACCGATTAACGCGCTGCTCAATGTATTAGTCGTTTTTGCGTAATGCGTCAATGTCGAGAGTTGTATAGGCGACACATTTGTATATCCTCTTTTCTCATATTCTCTCTGGTAAATTATGATGGGGCATATGCAAGTAAGTCGCGTGACTTGGCGCGCATTTTCGATTTTCTCATTGGAGTAATACAGCACCGTAAATCGCGATTTCTCTGACTTCTCACGGCCACTCGATAGTTTCTCCTCGTTCAAACCTCTTCTCGTAAGGTCAAAGGACAGCGGCGCCTATTTAGCGACCCTCTTCGACTCACAGAGTCGCTCGCGGTTGTCCTGGATTCGAAATATCTCTCCCTTAGGCAGCGAAAACTTTACTTCAGCGGCCGTGGTAATTATCGTTCTTCTGAGAGTTGAATTAATCGGTAATCACGAACAAATGAGGAAAGGCAAAAAGATTCATTGTGGCAAAAGATAGGGAATATCAGCTAGAAATAATCAAAAACTTAAATTCAAGTTTAATAAATACGTACATTTAAGACATATAATATTATAGCAAATGTATACTTATATATTTATAATTTAATATTTATTTTTATTTATTTATATATTTATTTTTATGATTTAAAAAACATAATATTAACATCAGAATAACGCGAAAAAAATGATCATATATGAAATATATGAAAGAATGCGGCCATGATATCCCCCAATCTAGTTAGCGAAATAAAGGGTTGAAGCAAGTACCAAATGAAAGATCTCGTCGATTAAAAACAAATATATAAGTTTTATTTTGCACCGATTTCCTGTCTCAAAGTTACAGAATTTCAAAGGTTCCAAATTCAAAACAGTTTTAAAAAAATATGAAAATGTTGGAGTTTTGCGACGTATAGAGACTCATTTGAAAGCTTATGACTTCTATTTTCCAGTGGATAAAAAATCGTATCAAAATGTTAACAAAAAACCGGAAATCCAAGTGTTGCAATTGAATTTTTTGTACTTTCGGTTGATTTTTGACAATGAAAATGTCACCAATTGATTCCTCGTACACAAAAATAATAAGTAACATTTAAATCTGGTTAGTTTAAGTGTACAAAAATAATTTAGAGTTGACTGAGGCAAATCGAAACATAATACATTTTTTAAAATACATATAGAGTAGACCGAGACGAACGGATCACAGGGTGAATCGGATCAATATAAGCTCTAAGACAGTTATTGTTAATATTTTATTTTAAATGAGCTGTTTTATTATGCCAGTTAGTAATTGGCATGATAAAAGTTAGTAATATGTCTTAGAGCTTATGTTGATCCGATTCACCCTGTGATCCGATTCACCTCGTTTACCCTATATGTATTTTCAAAAATGTTAACTATATGCAACGATATATTGGACCGAAATCAGATTATCATGATTTTCGGCTTTTGATGAATTACGAAATATTTCATATCTATATCTACTGAAGAGTATCTAGATAAAATGTAAAATATATTTCGGAAAATATTTATTTTCCGAAAATTTCATTCCAGTATTTTTATGACTAAAGGAATTGATATCTGAGATGATCCTGATATTGATATTTTAGGCATACAATATAAATGGGACACCCTATATATACGATTATATATATAGATTATATTCGCTATCACAGTTCATTTGAGGAATTCTCTCCACGGGTCACATTACATTTGTTTTTATGTAATTGTGCAAAACAAATTTGGTTTGTTTATATGGATACACAAAGAGAAGAGTGTATGTATTACATACACATATATGATGTTGATAGTAAACGAGTAAAATTGAATATTTTGAGTAAAGAGAACGTGAAAGAAATCGATGCGTAACATATATGTGACGCTGGTAGCGAATATATCATTATATATAATAATTATATATCATTATATATAATAATTATATATCATTATATATAATTATTATACATCATTTAAATATGAATATGTGTATAATATTTTATTAATTATATATAATCTCTCCCTCTCTCGGAAAGCAACTTAATTAAAATTCAATACTTTTTAATAACTTTTGATAAACTGCAGTGTATAGAACTACTAAAATCATGATCAAATTATATCATCATTTCTCTCCATTCAACTTAAACTGGACCAGCTGAAGCGATTCGGTAAAAACATACTGAAATATTTAAAAGATCTCCACGCAAGATCTATCATCACTGTTCCCGAGCTGTGGAACTGGTTGAACAGATTTATTCTAATAATAGTCGTAAACCTCCGCCTCATCTCTCTCAGTATGTCCTTAAGCTCCCCTCGGGAGCCCGCTGTTAGCGCATAAGTTTTTTCCAGGCGACTCGACACTTCCAATCCCGCTCGCGAGCGTCGCACGCATCAAGTGTAATCACGGCCACACGGTGGTTTCTCCGCAGGAGGCCTCGTCCTCCAAGGTCAAAGGACAGAACTCCTCCGCGGTGACCTTATCCAAGCCGCCAATATCTGCCTTGGGCTTGAACGGCAGCTCCGACACGGGGATCCCTTCCGTGGGTCTCTCGCGGCTCTCTTCGTCGTCGTCCTCGAACTCCGAGAAATCGTTGTGTCCATCACCGCTGGTCCTTCTCACCCTGGCAAAATCCAAGTCCGTCAAGAAGACGGTGTTCACTCTTCGTTTGGCTCGTTTTTCCCGCGAGAACCCTGCTGAGACGGCCGATTTCCTCTCGTTGTGAAGACGTCGCGGCTTCGCGGGACGCGGAGCCGACTCGGACGACTCGATCGCCTCCTCCTCTGCGTAGTCGCCGTCCTGATTGATCGCGGCCGACCGCCGCTCCTCGTCATGCACGCCGCTGCCGCCCGGTAGCTTCCTACTTTCCAGCGCCGATCGGGTCGCGCTCTTCGGGAATGCATTTTTATCGGTGGAACCGGCGGCAGCGGCGGCGGCCGCGTTTTCACTGCTACCACCTGTCACTTCCTCCGCCGCTGTCGCCGCCTTCTCCGACGCAGCCGCACGTGGACAGATGTCTGCCGTGTCGGCCGGGCAAACCGCGTCGAAACCGTAGATCTCCACGTGGCTCGCCTCGGTTGGCAAGACTCTCCGTGCCGACTCCTTATCGACAGCCCCGACGTTCTCCACGTCCGACCGCATCCGCGGATGCTTGCGGTACTCTTCCTGCAAGTATGTCCGGAACTGATCCTTGAAATAACCGTCGATCATCCTCCACACGGTGGCGCTATACCAGCTCAACACGCCGAGCAGGACCACCCCGCGAACAACAAACGCTAACATGATGAGGCTTGAGGCGGGATCAATTATCGAGGGAAATTGCAATTATACAACATATGTCAATATCAAATAAACATATTCTTAATATACATCTAGCTCGGCAAGATTGCTGCGAGAGAATGTGATCTTATTCAAAGAGAGAGAGAAAGAGAAAGAGAAAAGTGTGCTGTTGTCAAACGGGTTCTGCACCTTTAAATCGGGTATTAAAATTGCACACAACAGCGAATTGATTTGCTCATTATCACTGTGAAAAGTTTATTCATTCGACGCTTACTGGCGGAGTTCGCCACGACAGGAAACTTTCAGGCAAGAGAACTACGGAGAGAGGCTTTATCTTGCACAAATATCACGATCCATGCATCTGACTTTCAAATGGCGCGTGCAAAAAAAAGGAAAGTTGTGTCAAATGTCTGTCCGCTTCTGGTATTTGCACGGATATTAAAAGTTCTGAAAGCCGACGGTTATATACCCGTTTATCGTCCCTCGTCCCGCATCGATCTCGCCATACCGACCTTAGCACACTGTTTTTTCACCCGCTCTGCTCGGATCATCGGCAACAAGCGACGTCATCGACGGCAATGTCCGCGAAATGGCGATCTCTTATCAGTCTCGGCGCGCCTGATAATCTATCATCGGTCCCAGTATTTATTACTTAATATATGAAATCCGATGGGCACTATGATAACGTTTCGCTCGAGACTAATCAAGGACGTCGAAGATAAAGCCAACTCTGAGAGATATGTCTAAACATTGTTGACAACTGCGAGTGAATAAAGCGTCGTTTGAGAAAGACACTCTTAGTTCCTTCAAGCTAATCACATTTACGCGTAATGTGACTCGATTTTTCAATAAATTAATCGATATTTTCAGAAATATTTAGATCGAATCTCCTCGATGAATCCAGTATAATCGCGATTGGTCGATTCAATCCTCTTCACCCACGAGATAGTCCTTAATGATGTAGAAAGACTCTCTCATATTCGGCCAAGCCATCGTGACGAACACCAAAATCGAATTCGCGATTACAAAGAGCCGCATCATCTCGACACCGGTGCTGGAGCGCAGCCAGTTACCGAAGCCTTGATTTTCGTCGTCACTCAACTCCGCCGTGGTCGTTTTTCCCGTCGCGCTGCTTCCGTTCTGGCCACTCTTACCGTCCTTGTTCTCATTGCTTCCGCGTTTCTTCATGATGGCCATGCTATGATCATCTGCAAGTATCAATTTCCACGCTGAACATCGTGAAGGCACGCCCTTGGGTGTGCCTCTACAAACTTGATCACTATGGACCAGACTTGATTACTGTGGAGAGCGTATTTGTATAATGGCATATTAGCATTATCTCTCCACACTACATCGTGCGAAATGATAGTAGTTGACGAGCGTTCGGTGTGTACGTGATGTAATCAGCGAACCCAAAAGAATGTAATCTCATCCTTAGCGAAATCCGCTTATAAGGATTCTTCCTCGGAAGAATTCTTCGGGAAACCAAGAGGAAAATATTCTTACATCTAAAACAAAGTAACTTTAGGTAAAAGGTGCTACTTCCTGTCAGCTCATACTCTAAACGAGAACTTTTACCGTAAAAGCATACTTCTTCTAATGAAATGAACCATTAATCAGAAATCTACCAGAAATCTATTATCTTAAGTTTGTTCTTTCTAGATCCAGAAACATATGTTTATTTGTGAAGCAAATACTCTCTTAAGCGCCATACGAAAAACATGCTGTGGTTAAAGACGAAATTCCTCTAACTTGAAGAATATTACGCTTAGGATATCTTCCTTTTGATTTTGGGAAAATTCTTTTGAAATCATATATATAAGGAAATTTCGCTAAGAATGAGATTAAATTTTTCTGAGTGAGCGACATTTTCTCTCGTTGGACGATCGTGAGCGTCCATAGTGTCGAAGGAATTAAAGACGTCGACGCACTAACAATCATCACGAAGGAGAGACACAATTTTCAAGAGCTGTCTCTCCTTGAATGGCTTTACAAAATATAATGCGCTCCCGCGGTGAACGTTCGTTTGCTTCGACGTCACTTATCGCGCGACAGACCGGAAGTTATGGAAATTTGCAAGTCGCGAGTGATGTTTAGTCGTTACGCGCGCAACTCTAAGCTAATTTATCGGATCTCGTGGCACCGAGCAGCTTTAACATCTTCTTGCTTTCATCGCGCGCTCTATCCTTCCGATCGAGGGTGAGGGCGAGAGGGAACGAAACTGCGGACGAATAGAATTATATAGATCCCGAGGCAGATCGAAGTTTACGGTATCGCAGCGAGTAAATTGCGAGGAGGAGCAGCGGAATCGTTATCGACGGGGAGCAGCCTTCACTGGAGCACGACCGTTGCTCTGTACAATGCTCTATCTCCCCGTCCCCTGCCCGGCCCCTCCACATCCCCACCTCATCCCTTCATCCAGCAGTCCCTCGATCCGTCTTTCCCAGCAATTGGCTAGTTACCAAAATTTTGCTCTATTGTTCACAATCCAATGACGAATAATAGCGGATACGGCGACTCGCGAACGAACGAACGGACGGACGAACAAGAAAATTTCTCAAGTCGGGACACATTAAGGTCGACATTCCGATTGTAATTGAATTTGACGGAGAACGCTCCCTGTATCGTGTCTCATTTCGACTCCTTTGTAACAGATAAATAAAGGGTAGGCCGACAGAAACGGGGCTAGCCGATAGATAACTGATTTGTATCGCCTCTCACGAACGCCATTCAAAGTGCCACCATATGCTTCGTCATGTACAGTAAAAGGGCTGACGAAAGTCGACCTTTGTTCACTGTGTGAGTGATGAAATTGCAGGAGAAATCATCGCGCTGAAAACGTCATGTCCTGGATACCACATCCGCGAGCCAAAAAACAGAATTACATTGCAGTCAGGTTCTCAGATATCCAATCAGATCAGATGTAGAACAGCCAGCGCAAGAGCCACTATGGATATTGCTACGAAATTTAAAATTGTTCTCGGGAAAGCTGAAATTTCTTTTTGGAAGAATAATTATTTATAACACTGTTGCGCACATACAGACGTACATTTCAAGGAATCTTTTTTAACAATTTCTTTCAATAACAAATTTTGCGCAACACTTAAAAAGAATAAAAAATGCTTATCACTTAATTATCAAAAAAGGAGTAATAAGTAATGAGGGGCGAGGTGAGGTGGCAAGTATTATTAAAATAATCAAAAGTATAAAGTTATGTCTAAATGGAAGGTGGATTCTCCGTGTGTGTTGGTCTAACAAATTCCTCAGAATGTGTGTGTGCGTGTGACTCTCTTTCTCTCACTCTCTTTCTTTCTCTCTCTTTATAAGAAATAATTATCCTCCTGAAAGTAAAAATCTAAATTTCGCATCAGAATCCACTCAGGACACTAAACTGACTGTTCTATATTTTAACTGATTAGGATTCACCTAAAATATACTCTCATTTTTTACGGAATCTTCTTATAAATAGTCTCAAGAAAATCCTTCTAAAATCAAAAGAAAAATATTCTAAGTACAATATTCTTGAAATTAGAGGAATTTCGCATTTTGTCTGCAGTACAAGTCATATCCCTAATAGCAATCTTTTCTAGTAAAAGGGCATTCTGCTTCGGGTAAATGTATTCTTCTCAGTTCAAAAGAAGAAAAGATTAGAATAACATCTAGTAGACTTGAGATTAATAGTTCATTTTATTAGAATACTCTTCCAGTGAAACTTTTTGTTTAGAATATAGGATCAAAAGAAATGCAGCAACTTGCAGCCAGAGTTCCTTTTCTGATTGTTAGAATATTTCTCTTTCGATTTTAGAATAATTCTTTCACGGCGTGTAAGAGGATTCCACTGGAGATGAGATTATATATTTTGGGTGTTGGGTTAATTAGCAGTTTGCGCTGTATAACGACTGGAATAGTACAATCGCGGTAAAACATCACGGCAGAGCAGTTCATATCGCGCGATAAAACGATCCCCGCGAGTGAAAATATCAACGACGGATGCAATCACGGAAGAAATCGCGAACGAAGATCAATCTCTACGTCTAACGAAGGGTCGACTGTTGAAGGCGCTAGTTGTATAATTGCCCGTCCTATAATTAAACCGGCTCAGTATGTTGCGTCATGAGCGGAAAGTTGGTCACTACGAGGTAACAGTACAACGTTGCACGATGCTCCACTTCCGAAGTCGTCCGTCGGACACCCAGTTAGAAAAGTTGGCTCGGTCATTATTCCTATTCGAGCGCGCATCGGCCAGCTTCGTCCGTTATCGTAAACGATACGCACTCGTAAATGAGGCCTGGCTGATAGCACTGTGTAACGGCACCGGTAACAAACGAAATGCAATTCTCTCTCTCTCTCTCCCTCTCTGTCCCTCTCTCTTTCTCTTCCGATTTCATCCGGCGAAATTTGCGTTTGCGATCAAGCTATTGCAATTGCTCGCTCAATGGCAAGATTGCCCCGAAGGCTTCTCCATTCTCAAGTGGAAATTCTCCCGTAGGAGAGAGTGCTTATTTCAAGTGCAACGAGTAATAAATTATTGATACCACATATTATTCAGCGCCGCCGGCGCGAACGTAACTTCACCATACGGATCCTTCTCTACATCTCGTCGCCGAGACAACGTTACTTTCGGACCCGTTTTCGTCTGCAACGCACGCGGCTCTCCGACTGCGAACGTAACGCAAGCAATCCCGGATGATTGGTCCTCTCGAAAGAAACGGCAAAAATGCACACGGTGAAGCGACGTAGGACGCAACGAAAGACACGCAGGTACGAGCGACGGCGCTTGCAATCAGCGAACGAGGAAATTACGACGGCGAGGCCGGTTATCGGCGAAGAACAGCCCGGAGCTGCGCACGATCGTTTCTATGGAGGACGATATGCCCGACCAGCCCTCGTTCTCAGGACGCATCTCTCCGCCGCCGAACAGATCGCGAATCGTCCCACTGTGCACGTAGTTACGAAAGTTCAGTCTACCGTTGCTTCTACGCACACGCGTGTGTGCAAGCCGCAGTTGGCAAATACCAGCCATCATCGCATCAATATTACAGGCTCGTTCCGCCAAACGTTGCCAAATATTTGATCAGTTATAATTACGAAGGTGAATTCAGCTGGCCGTGTACACTTTGTGACTTTATCAACTTTCAAATTGAGTCGACAGTAGCGGTGTGATTTGGTACGGTGGTGGTGTCCTCGTCCGCGAGTTAAACTTGCTGAGCGCTAATGTGCGACTAAATTATCCGCATCCACGAACACGTCGAAAAATGTTTGACTTTAATTGTGGATCATAGACATGGGCTGGCTGTAATAGATTTTCCGACCAGCTCCGAGCCAATTTTAAAATGTTGAGTGCCGACACAATGCAGCCTCGTATTTTGCACTGTTTTTTCTTTTCGTTTCCTCGCAATTGCAACAGAGCGAAAGTACAAATGCCAATGAATGACAGAGTTTGCCCTACAATATAAAAAAGTTCCTTTATTTATAAAATTCTTTTTTGTTTTTGACATCACATAGAGTACTCCGCCATTAATCGACATTTGTATTTTCGCTTAACACATAAGCATTTGCAATTATGTACAACCAAACAGAGAAATAGCGCAAAATACGAAGGCTACGTCACGTTGGTATCCAAACCAAGAGAAAAAATATTTTAAAAATAATCAAATATTTATTCGACAGGCACCAATAATAACATATTTATTTAAATCCAAATTCTTTTATGCAAATAGAATGAACAATTGCTTTCATAAAAAAAGCTGTGTTTAAGAAAATATATGTTTCCTGGCTTGAAAAATATTTAGTGTTAGTACAAGTGAATCAGTACCCACCGAATAAATACTCCTTATTTTTTCTCTCAATGCGGCGTCCCCTCAACTCGATATAATAGATCGTAATAAAAAAATTATGATTTATTATTTTCATTTTAATTATTTATTATATTTCAATTTTACTTATTTTTATTTTATTTTATATGTTTTTTATAGTTATGACGGCTACTTCTCCATATTAATTTATTATTTAATATTATTTCGGTAACGGTCTTGTCGGCTTTAATATTACGACTAACATTCATATCAATTTGCGCTGGTCTTTTACTAACTGTAATGCGTTCGTGTCGTAAACCTTGAGTTTTATTATCACTGAAGAGGGTTCATGGTTGAGCCGAAACGTATGATTGTTTTATATTGATTATTCATGTTTAATAAATATTACACGATTTCCTAACACAAGGAAGGTTTTTACTCATATGGTATATAGCACTATTAGTCCTGTGCTTGAACTCGAATTGCCCTTTTTCCTATTTTTTTGATTATTATTTTCAATTTACTTCTAAGATTTTGTATTCTTTTGGCTTATGTGTGTATGTTTTGGTTTTCCTTAGTTATAATCTAATCGAGAAACTTACCGCGCCATGTCGATCTTTCTCTCTCTTTCTCTTTCAATAAATCACAGTTGTATGAAATGATCGTCCTCGAATCGCCATCGATTCCAGAGAGAGTTTGCAATCTTCTTTTTTTCTTATAATTTTTTACGACACGTAAAACCCGCGCGACATGACACACGCAACAACTGCCACCGACGGTCTGCCGCTTTTCGCGTCCGCTTTGCCACGGGGCATGCTGATATAAGGCTTCCCTGCTTGGTAAGCTCATTATAAGATTTTGCGGCAGTGCTGAGGGTTCTCCAAAGCTCGCAGGGCGCGCGACGGAGTTCTAAAGTGTCTGGCAAATTCAATACTATGCGACCTCCACGATCCGCTGCATCATATTCTTGCGCGAAACACATCATTGTCTTGTCGCGATAACAAGCAAATTTTCCAGATGAATTCTGTGCATTTTCCTTTGAGCACAGTTCTAGCAGAGTTCTAGATATAGCTCCTACCTTTCCTCTGGTTTATTTAAACGCATACAATGTAGATAGTCTGGATAGGAAAAAAAGTCAACAATTTTTTGTACTTTCCTCCATGCCAATTTCAATTGAGCTAGCAGCTGATACTGATTTAAACGATTGTGCGGTTAGATGCACAATCTGGTAATTACCAGCTCCGGTCAGCTTAATAAATCACCCACTAGTGCGGTGAAGTTCGACGTTGTCATCTTCCGATCGATTGGATCACACCCACGTTTCGGATGTGGCGCTCCACGGGGGAGTTCGATTAATCACACGAGCTGTCTAAAATTGTGAGCAGTAAAGATACTGTTTTCCCGACTCGCGCTCTTTTATTCGCATATAAATAGCACGGAACCGGCTACAATGTGAGCAAAGACTAGTGCAAATATAATTTCCTCTCGAAGAGATATCGGAAAGAGATTTGCATGGAGATGTCCCGAAAATCAAGTCTCACACTTAAGCGAAAATAAAAAGCCTAAGACACGCGTGAAAGTGAACAATTTTGTCGTGATACTGCTAAGGAGAACTAAATATTAATTAAATTTTAACTTTAATCGAGAAAAATAATTAGTTTTCATAGACATACACACACACATGCATATATGTATGTATGTACACACACACATAAACACGGAAAAAAAGATTTGGTTGAATTAACCAAATATTTGGTCGAATATGAACGATCCAGAAATTCCGATTGAAATAACCCGAATTCTGTTTAAGTCAACCAAAAATCTTGTTAACTTAAATAGAATTCGAGTTACTTCAATCGGAATTTCTGGATCGTTCATATTCGACCAGATATTTGGTTAATTCAATCAAATCTTTTTCCCGTGCATGTCTAAACACACATATATACAGCTTCGGTTTTCCATGTCGAATTCGCAAATGAGAAGCGCAATATTAGAATATACAAGATCTACACTGTTAAATCCGTAGTGTCAACAAATTATACTCAATTTGAGTTATTTTTAACTATTCCTATAAGTCGCCACTGCTCCTACTAAATATGTCGTTAATTTAACTAATATAATGGAGTTAAATAATTTAACTTAAGAAATGTATTAAATTTGACTAAAATTTAGTTTATTTTTTATTATGTGCACGTTAATGTAACCTTTGTTTTAGTAAAAAATTACTTAATATTGTTTTAAATGAGTTGATTAGATGTGGTTGTTTTTTTAAACATATGTTTTGTGTTAAAATAATAAATTTTGACACACATGATAGTTAAAAATAACTAAATATTATTTAACTCAAGAAATTGGTTTAAATTTGACTCTCCAATATTTAACAGTGTATGCTTGTTTCATAAAACTGTCGCAAGTCAGTTGCCAGTTATAGATAAAGATCTCCGCGAAAATTAAAGTTAAGAATAACGCGGGTGAAATGGATACGTCGAATGTTCCACGACCAGAATAAGAATTACTACTACTACTATTATTCCTACTACTACTTCTATTACTACTACTATCTCCATCAAAGTCTCCGGAGACTTGCTTATTCTTGGCGATGAGATTGACTCGTAACACGGTTATCTTCTCGGTACTTCGTTTCACCGATAATGCCAAAGGATCATGGGTGCATTTCCGAGTGACAGTAGCGGACGATCCGGTATGCCCGATGCAATTTTCCCGGAAAGTATTACCCGCGTCGCCATGGAACATCGATGTTCGATATACGTTTCAAAGTGGCCGCGCCGTCGAACCCTTGCCCGTTATTTAAATAATTAAGAATCCTATTCAAGCCATCAAAGGCGAATTCTTGTGGGGGCTGTGATATAGTTTTTAATAAAAATCTCCAAACCTACCCTTGATAAAAGTTTATTGCACACATTTATTGCACACACACGATTGGTATTAAAGTAGATGAAAGTATTAAAGTAGACGGTAATAATAAGTAGATAGTAATAAGAAAGTATTAGTAATAATTCAAATCACTTTAATAAGGGCGAATAAAATCAACATATATGTTCGGTATTTTTTACTTCTTGTACTTTAAACCAGAGCTTTTTACAAGAAAGGATGGTTAGACAGCCGACCCTTTTAATCGCCTCATATGGGACGTGGGGAACACCGTGATGCTATTCTACCTCGGAACATCACCCGGAGATATACGGAATTATTATGCCACGCAGAGAGAATTTTAAAGTAAAAATTTGAATTTTTACTAGAAACTAGAATTTTGTAACCGAGGAATAGGTCGACATTCTGTTGTAATTGACTATCTTCTTATTACATATGTGCTACTTATACAAAATGAGTCACCTAACGTTATATTCAACCCCCAACTCTTTCAATCACACAATTTTTTCCTTACGTATTTTCCTTTAATATAACAACAAAGATATTTTCGAATCTAACGTCGGCTGAGTTAACATGTGTGTATTTTAAGAACTGAGACGTTGTTAAAAAATTTGCTGTTTCTAGCGAAATTTACCATATTTCTTAGCAAAATAGACCTTATTAACAGTTTATTCCTGCACTACTAGAAACATAGTAAAATTACTAAAATTGAAAAAAATTTATATGAAAAACAAGAATTATAATATTTTCTCTTTATACATACTATAATTATATACTTATATTAAAATTTTATTACATAAAATGTTATACTATATACCATAAATATAAATAATATAATTATGTTATTATTTTATAATATATTATAATTATATCACAGACTATAATATTATATCACGCACTAGCTTAAACTATCCGACACACATTGCCCCAGTTATATATATATATATATATATATATAGAACATCTAAACTTAAATTATCACAAAGTATTAAGAGAATGAAATCGGGGGTGGAGTGGGGTAAAGGGATGGAGTGTCCAGGTTTCATGTAACCTGAATTTTCCGCAGGGTCCTAGAGAGTAATTATACAAAATTTGGTCCAGATCGCTCGAAGGGTTTAGGAGTAATGTAGGGAACATATAGATAGACATTCTATTTTATATGTATATAGATATACAACGGTAAAGAGAGACTCATATTACCAAACGGTAGTATCGAATGGTACCCAGGTGCCAAATGGAACGATGAATGACAGCGGCGCGCGTGTACCAACTGGTGTAACACCGTTACCTATCGTTCCATTTCCCCGTGTTACACGTAGCTTCCACGTACACGGGAAAAAATCGCAGTTCAACTGAATAGGGACCAGACGAAAGCTCATAACTCAGAAACGATATCTCTGTTATTACGACCGAAAACATTCGTCTGAATATGCGGCTGCTTCAGAACTTGGTCAAAATAACTGAAAGCCACTGACTGGCTATCTACGGATATGTAGGTGGTTTTTTTTTAGTTAGATCCTACTGAGGGATCTTTCTATTTCTACAAGTGGATGTTCGCCTGGTCCTCAGACAACGGAAAATCAGTTACACCGACAACAGAGTATTGTAAACTTTCTTAATTTTTGCATTGATAATCCGGAATCCCCAAGATGATATCTTCATTATTTAACAGTTATTAAAATAAGTTATTAAAATAAATTATTTCGAAAATACTTAATTAAAGTATGTTGAGATAACAAACGTTCGAATGAGGATTTGCATGTTCGACTTAAATTAAGTCGTAAAGAACTCAGAGTATCACTGCAGTAGGAATAATCTTAATTGAGCAAAAAGTACGAATTATGATTAATTCTCAAATAAATTAGTCCAGAATGCCAAATTGAGCAGACACCTCGACGAGTGGGCTGCTTTAACTTAACCTGAATCTTTGCTTATATATCTTTTTTCTATTATTTAGTTTTCGCTTATCTCTGCTCGCATCGCCATTCCGGCTCCTTAAGAAGTTGAAGTTGAAAACTTTATTGACAGAATACTAACATTTTTCTGCAAAGTTTATGTTGTATTATTTGTACAGAATTACAAATGTTGTTACGAAATGAAACTACGTGCAAAAATAAAGAGGAGCATTTTTCGATATGTAACGAAAACGAAAAAAAAATGTTTAATGTAAAATCTCAAGCTGTCAGCGTAATATTTGCCTAATCCAAAAGTTCCGCAGTTTGTACATACCGAAAGTATGAATGCTTCAAACAGAAAAATTTTAAAGAACATTGCTGTGCATCTGAACACTGCTTCGCATCTGAATTCAGAAGCTTAAGAATATCGGAAAAGTTTGCAGAAAGATTTCTACACACGCGTGGTTAGGTTTTCCGCTGAATATGATAAAAGCAACACACATTTACATAACTTCTATACGTACAAAAAATACGAAAAAGATAGCATGATTGTGTTAGTGATAGTCGTTTTTGCGTTATCGACGTTTTTTTCGAGAGAGAAGTCGTCATCGACTTCAACACTCCCTTAATATAATATATATCGACAGGTGATCTCGTCTGCTTAGAATTACGTGGCCTAAGGCCACGTTTTACGCTTTACGCTATACGCTTTGTCTGTGTTTTTCTCGAAGTAATGCTGTTTCGCTATAAAACGCGATTTAAATTCTTACAGAATTTTTTCCGTGCGGCGCGACGCAACGGCAATTACGCGCCACGGTGAGCTTCGTCGGAGTAAGTACGGCTTCTCTTCGGAAAGATTCTACCGGATTCCAGGTGGTGTCGGGCCATTTCTGTGTCCCCTACGACCGCGGCGACACACTCTCTCTTACCGCTTACGGCGCGGAAAACTCCCGATCGGGTAGAAGCTTCCCTAACGGTCGAGGAACACCAACATGCGTTGCTCGCGTATCGTAGTGGAATTTCCAGGTCGTTCCCCGTAAGTAATGTACCTCGTGCCGATGGTGCAGGATCTCTCGG